ATATATATATATATATATATATATATATTAAAATTATTCACAATTTTAACTGTTGATTTTCTAATCGAAGATTGTGAGAGTATTTTATATTATGTAAAGTGTTGAGTGCAATTTATATTGTGTTAGTGTACTTCCCTCATTTTTACATTTGATAATTTTTAAAACATTAATTGTAAGAATGTTATAAGTATAAAATCAACACAATGATAGAGGTTGGAGTAATTCGAATCCTAATTTCGTCATTTTGATTCTCATGGATAAAAGAAGAGTAGAAAAATTATAAAATCAACCCTTGCTTATTTCATTCTTACCCAATACATTTTTTAATTATTATATACCGACATTTAATTTAAAGATATTGATGTGTTTATCAAATCACTTTAACTTTTTACGTATGTGATTTTGAAATAAAATGTCTATTTTAGTAAACTCCAAGGAATATGTTGAATCACATATGCTCCAATTTAATATTTTGAAAATGGTAATAATTTAACTTTTACTATTTTGTCATTTCCTTCTATATTTTTATATGTATTTTTTACATTTGAAAAAATGTGACTAAATTAGAAAAAAAAATCTTTTATAATATTATTTATCTATTTATTTTATTACTTTCCACAATAGTTAAATACACTCATGGTATTCTATATACAAGATTGACATCAAAGAGTAGTGAGGAAAAGAACTATCATTTTGCGCACACAAGGTTCTTACCCCCATTTCTCTTTTGCTATAGCTTCGGTTCGATTGATGAATAAAATGCAGATAGTGTTTTAATTCTACGACGGTCTTAATCTTTTCCTAAGTTTCTCCGATAATGGCTAGCAGTTTTATGAACCCCTGCTATCTGTAATTAATCAATTTCATGGTATTATAATTGCCTCCATGTTTATCCATATATATAGTTATAATTTACAGTATTCTTCCTCAAACTCATTTTTTATTTTCTTAATTCATTATCCGCAGGTACGCACAGAGACTTTCTCGTCAATTTTCTAAAAGGTTTCTCCACAACCACGATATAATAAGGTCACAATAAACATTTTTCTTTTCTTTTCTTTCAATTGTGATTTTTCTCTATATTTTGTAGTTTTATTTTGTGATACTTCCGATTGTGATTGTATATCTCAGTCAAAATTTGGATATCCTATCTTTAATTAAGAGGTATAAGTATCAAATTTATATTTTATAATTGTTGAGTACTTGATTCTTCTACTATATAATAAAATTAAAGAAGGAAAAAAAGGATTACTCGATCAATCTTCTACACATGATAACAGTAGTATGACTATAGTTCAAACCCTAAGATTATTCGTTGATAGACAATTTATATCCACATTTTAAAGATTGGCTTTACTTTGGAAGGAGGAGAATCTCATCTCCCTCACATTAAACTTCTATACATAAAAAATCCGTTATTTAATTTATTCTGCTTTTATGAAGAGAACAGAAGCTTGCTTTATTAATTTTTTTTTTCTTTCTCTTAGATATGTTTTTTTTGTCTTCATCCTGTTCCTATATGATCTTAATTATGAATATTTGTTGTCTGGCTACAAAACAGGGTCCCCTTTCACATAATTCGACGATAACATTTTTCTTCAAGTTTTCAATTAATTTGTTAATTTAACTTTGCAAGTTGGTATCCTTGTTGTTGTCACTGTATCAGAACAACTTTGCATGGAACTGATCTATATTTAGCCTATTAAATCAGTGTGGTCTTAAAATCCTATGGATAAAGCTATTTCAATTTCATGAATTAATTAGTTTTTCTCATTCATTATTTTACGCTACCTTTTTTCAGATTCATCTAGGCTGGTCTATCCAATCCTTGATGGTTTTGAAGAACATCACGTAATCTAGTGTGTTTGGTATAGTTACTCCATATTATAAACTATAAAACAATGGAAGTATACAAACACAAAAATATTAAACTACTAATGTTGGATAAATTTCAGTCATGATTCATTAAATATTTAAAAAGTTATTTAAATTATTTCTCATAAAACATACTTTAACTAGCCTTTGCAAAACTATTAAGAATATAATGATATATCTATAATAAATTACAATTTTTAACATAAATCAATCATTATTTTTATGATAGATATTTTGTATCAATATCATAATTATTAAAAAATATGTATATAATAAATTATATAACATTATTTTCTGCATCTATATCTCTCTATCATTTATAAATGTAATAAATGATATGATAAAGAAACAAATAGATTAAAAAAAAATAATGTTGCACAAATTATTATACAAATTTATTCCTCAATTCATAAATAGTAATACTTTGTACGTGGAATTATAAAAATAATTAAATTCATAATTTTAAATTTGATTTAGATTTCAGATTTTTTAACTTTTTAATTTTTGGTTAAAATATTGAATTATTAATTACAATGATATATTTATTAAATGATTATCAAAATTATTTATTAAATAATTTTAATATAATTTAATATTATTGATTTTTTAAAATAAATTATTTTTTTACCTTCTAAAAATATTATTCAATAATAATATAGAAGTTGTAAATATTTTATCTTTTGTAATTAATGCTTAATTTTTAATCAATATTTTATATAATAAACTATTTGTAAATCATCTTTAAAATTATTTTTTTAATGAAATGTTTTAACACTTTAGGAATAATTTTTAATGTATATATTTAAATCTTTTATTTATTTTTATAGTCATTAAAATAAGCATATGTTTACTAAATTAATTTTACCCAATATTTTATATTTTTATGAACATTTTTTTGATTGAGTAAGACAATTAGTTTAAAATAATTTGTAAAAAAAATTACCAAACAAATTTATAGTTTGAAAGGAGTTTTAAAATTTTTTTTAAAATATTTTGTTTTTAAAGTTTTATTTAAAACTTTAACTTTAAAACAGCTTTTAAGCTAGTAAAAATTGGGACAAACATAACTAATGATGTGTTTGGATGGGGAATTTATATAGGATAATTTATTTATTTGAAGAATTTCAAATTTCTTGAGGTGAAATGCTTTGTTTGGATGATGAATTTACAAAGAATTTGAAATCCAAGCATTTGTGAAATTCCTTCAAATAGTAGAATTTCAAATTTTCCCAAAAATGGGAGAATTTGAAATTCTTCATATTTGTTTTCTTATTTCACCTGTATATTTTATCTTATCTCTTCATTCTTTTAATTATTGGATATTCAAAAATATTTTTAAAGTTATTAAATATTATCTAATATTAATTTTTAAATTTTTTAAATATTTAAAAATGGATTAATATTTATTTTATAAAATTTAATTTTAAAATCTCAACATATAAATATATTTTTAAAATCAATTTTATTATGGTAGAATCAAATTATCATATTCAACTTAACAATTTAAAAAAATTGAATTGACTCATCTAAACAAAATATTTTAAGAATGATAGAAATTGAAATCAAAGTAATTCAAATACCAAGAATTTAAAATTCCTTGAATTTGTAAAATTCCTCATCCAAATACACTATAAAGGCATTTTGCTTCTTGTAGATATTTATAACCAGTTGTAGATATTTCATTATATAGCAAAATTATTGTATACAATTCCCACATTTCCCTATAAGAAGTGTCCAATACATATATGATATGATCGAATCTTCATACATCATTAAATACTATTAACTAACTTGTATTTTATAGTTTTTTATAGTTAAATTCTTGCACTATATTGAATGAAATTAATTAACTAATATTTTATATATGATTTTCTGCATGCGTGTTTTAGGAATTTTCGGCTGCTACCAGTTCATTATGTCAAAAGAAGGAACTTATGCGCGTGAGGTACTATCTTGTTTAAATCGTGTTTAATTAAAAACAATTGGATGAGTGAAGTATTTGGGCATTTAAGTTTAGCTGTGTTAATACACATTATAAAAATTTCATAAAATATTAATGCAGAATAATTATTAGGGCTATATATATATATATATATGTCTTGATTATATATCTAATTTCTTAGTTACTTTTAACATCTGGTGATCTGGGTTTTTGTCTTTTACTATGATTTCACAATCAGCACCAACTTTATGGGAAAACTTTTGGTTCGAGGGCACGGATGAGATGAAACTTTAAGATATATCAAGGATTACTTTGGTTTATTCATACATAAAATAAACTTATTTTTCATGCAACTTTATTTTGAATTTTTGTCAAACAAACTTTTAGGAATTAGAAATTGACTTAAAAATGCATTATTGGTCGTATCATATAAGACTAATTGATGTCTAATATATGTCAATTTTTATTTACACTTATCAATTAAGTTTATAAAATTTCATTAAATAAAAGATAATTAATTAACACTCCACCGCACAATATTAATTTATCAAATATAATAATATGCTATTTAAAAGACAATATATTAATAAATATTAAGTAACAGTACGTTATTAGATAATATATTAATAAATATTTAATTTATGTGAATTTAATATACATATAAAAAAGACAATATCAAGTTATTAAATTATGTAAATAGAAAAGTTTAACACCTAGCCAGTATCAATTAATTTTGTCGATGTAAAATAAAATTGGAAATATTATACATTTGGTAGGAGCTACGGATGGATCAAGGACAAAGTAGTGGAATATCAACCTCAAATCCTTCCATAGGTGGAACTAATGGTTTTGGCTTTGATGGAATGATCTCAAACAACCCTACTGCATCTTTTGGTAAAAGGTATTGATAAGCAAAATATATGTGTACATGTGATAGTTGTCTATCTGCTAAGTTTGATGCTAACCTATATATAATTTGTAAAAATCAATTGTAGGTCGCGACCTATGTTTGAATTTGATGTTGTTGGGAACCCTGTGGTTATTAATAATGCTCTACACCAACAAGAAAGAGCTTCAACAGTAGCAGTACCACAGATTCTCCCTCCTTTTGTCGTATGTATTATTTCTCAATTACAATTTACACATGTACATATGCAAATCCATGTTGTTATCCATATATACGAGCTTTTCAATGAAAACAATTGCAACAGCAGGGAGAATTAGAGAGGGGTTTCCAAGCTCCAGAGCAATCTAGTTTGTTCCATGCCTCTCAAAACACTCTTCACCCTGAACTATACTATCAGTAAGTTGTAGCTTCTTTAGAATTTACACAAAGTTTAAAGGGTGGCCTGCCACATCAATTTATTTATTTGACAGAATTATATATAGATTTATAATCCTTTCATCTTAGTTCGTAAAAGAAGAAAATGACCACATAATAAAATTTAATTACTATTATTTATATTAGATTTTCCTTTTTTTTTTAATGTGACTAGTACAGTCAAGACACTCTATACTTTTATATTTTATTTAAAAATTTCAAAAATATAATAAAAGATGAGATTAAGTGATAAGGGTAATTAAAATTTTGAATAATTAGAGATAATTAACTTATTTAAGTGATTATATAAGTAGTTATTTTTTAATAATTTTTTATTATTTAAAAATTTAAGGATAAAATTATTTAAAAAAATGTGAAGATGAAAAAATTTCATGTATCTCCTTTGTACATAGATATAAATATATAGGTATTGATATAGATTTATGTTTTTAGAACAAAGAATATAATATAACTTAACTTTTTGTTGGAAATTAAATTCAGGCTTGGGAGTATGGGACCAAACTATGCTGTTGCTTCACCAACTGCTGTAACTAGTTTGGGAAATGGTAATTACAATCTACCAACATCAAACTTTACAGCACAGATGCACGGAGAGTCTTCTTCAAGTGTTCAACTGCCCCAAACTCATGAATCATGTCCACAAGTACGTATGAAATGGAATTATGAATGAATCATATATAGCCTAAATCTATATCGGTTATACATAGCATCCTACAATATGTACTTTTAATTTAGCAAATTTAAACACTAATTTCTTTCTTTTCAAAATATCTATTTTTAAAACTCTTTTAAGAACTTTTAAGTTGGTAAGCAAAGTTAATACTTATGTTGCTAACATGTCCCATCCTCAAAGATAAAGTTCAAATCATTTCTCTCTTGGGTTGAAATTCAATTAATTTTTTACATTAAAAAAGACAACAGCACATATGTATATATTTATATATATCGATTTAGCATCTCTTTCACATTTTAATTAACTGTTGTTTGTCATTTTCAGAACCCACTGGGATTTGCAAATTATGGTGCACAAGGATCTTGCTTTCCGACGACACAGTGGAAAAATAATCCCAATTTGCAGCAGCCTGCAGAGTCTCAACTATCCACTGGCCTGAGGTAATTAAAATATAACTATTGTTCGTTATTATATGCTATTTACCTTTTTCTTTCTCCAATAAAAATCAGATTCAGGCTAACTCATTTTAAATTAGCAATATATATATATTTTATTTTATTTGAAGCTAATTGAGTAGTAATTGTTGATTGTATATATACATAAAAAGGACCCTGGAGATGATGCAGTCCGGAGGATTAATAAGCAGCTATTCTCTTGGTGGAAGGTCCTCATCCAATAGTGAATCTCAATCCCCAAACACTCAACAAGTATATATGCTTATTCTTTCTTTCTTTAAGCTAGAAAGATGCTTTTAATTAACAGTGATTACGTGCATATACCAAACACGAACACATGCATACACACAACACAGATTAATTACACGCCACGCATTAGTGAATAAGTATAACTCTTTTCTTTTCTCTTTTACAATGGAAAGTATATAGGAATAAAGCTTGTTTTATAATGTGTTTAAGTAAAGTGAATGAAAAAATTAAGCACCAACAGAGAATCATTCCTTTTTTAAAAGGTTTACCATCAAATGAAGTTGTTTTTCTTATGCTTTTTTTTTTTAATTTATAAATATATGAGCATGGTAAACATAATATTTTAATACAGTATGTTCATAAATGATAAATGCTATTAATTACAAAAAATGTCTATACGAATTCATACGAATTTGAGGCATTACAAATATATTGGAAATTGTTTTTATTCTCTCTTCTAACTAAAATGGTTGTTATATATAACTTATATGAATATTGCTTTTGAATTCGTTTATTTTAGTGTCAAAATTTTGCATAATAACTAGTACGTTGTAAACAAATTGCGGGTTTGGCTCGAGTTTAGTTTTTGAGTAAGTCTTTGTAATGGAAGAAAATATTGCACAAAAAATAAGGGATAAAAAGACAGATCATAGAAACATGTATATTATATTAGTGCTTTGCTCACTTATGATTAAGGTTGTAATGGATTCATATAAACTATAACTAAAGATTTGTGGAAAAGTAAGTAGTAAATAAAACATGTTATTCTGATGGTAATAATAATTGTTATATTGAGTCATCAAACATGAATAATCGAACAATCATAATAATCGTATAAAGAAAAGGGAAAATAAAATTAAATTTGTAATGCATGTCTATAGCTACCTCCAAACCAGATTCATTATTGGTATTTAAAAAAAAAAATGAAGTCAAATAACATCAAGTGCAATGGATACTCAATCCATATACACAAGTTTCTGATATTTTCGTATGTAGTTGTATTTTCAAAAATATCTTACAAGGTGATTCTATTTTTTGTTTTTAATATTCTCAGCAGCAAGGACCGATTGGCAATATTCATCATATTCCCTATCCACGTGAAATGGGAGAGTCATCATCGAGGAATGTGAAGGTACGTGTGAAAAAAATAATATCTGATTAGATTACTTTTGGTGATAATCAATTCTATTAATACATCCTACATGCTTCAAATTAATAACTTTTCTTCATTGATGTTTTTGAATATAGATGAAAATGACTTTGTCAGATGACAATCAACCATCAACTGAGCTTCAAATGGGTAGCTTGCATGATGCAACTACTCAAGGCAATGGAAACCCTCAGCCACCAAGGTAGAGTGATCTTAATTAATTATATTATATGGTCACTTTTTTATATACATATTTTCAATATAATAAGGCTAGTATATATGCTCCTCTATAGGCCTGTGAGATACTCACTTTATGATCCAATGTATGAACAAATGGGCTTTCCCGTGGATCCCCATCTGAGGATGTTCTTTGGAAGGAAGCGTAGACAGTGTAAGTTTTGATTCTAAAATGCTAATTATTTAAGGTTTTTTTTTTTTTTTTTGATGTAGTGTATTGTAATGCAAGGTCTTACTCGATCTGTGTTATATATGTATATTCATGCTTGCAGGTAACATGTAAGATTTGCGTTGATTGAATGCATTGACTTCTTGTTCACAAGAAAGTTGCCATATACTATATATTATTTGAGTCTTGAAAAAAAAAAAACGAACTTATTGAGATTTAATTTTATTGTGTTGGTACTTGGCCATCATACTTTGGCCATGATACAACTTTGATGCATGTTCGAGGATTTTATTTGGTATTAAGACTCGTAGAGTTTTCATGTTTTCCGGCCGGTTTGCTTTTGCTTGATTGTTAAATATTTATTTGATCATTTTATCAAATCCCATAAATATGGGTAGGTTTAGAATGATTATATTGCACCAAATTGAAAGAGAAAACAAGGCGAGAAAGTGTTAGTCAAATATAGATCATTTCTCTCTCGTAAACACGTTGATGATTCTATGGGAGAAAAGTTAAGGAACTTGGGTTTTTGGATAGTATATTTTGTGAGCACTTTCGTGATTAACACATATATGTTCGTGGACTTCAATTAGCTAGCTAGATATGAGATATCACTGTTCAAAATCCTATTAGTATATTGCCTGCTATGTTTGACGAATCAAAGCCAAAATGAAAAGATTATAGATGAGACTAATAGTGTATAAGAGGGTTTTAAGGGCGTTCAAGTTTGTCAGCAAGAAAGAAGGAAAGGATTTGGGAATTATTGCCACATTTGTTTTGGATTGAATGAGACAACAACGAGGAGGAAACCAAAAACTAAATAAGATTTGTAGCTATTTCTGATCGTTCTATCCATGAAAAGTGAAATGTGCAATTAGACATATGGTCCGAGTACGAGAGTTTTGATTTAGGAATTGATTTCGAGTAAATGTGCGATTTTTTTTATTTTAAATTTTAGGGGGTGTATTGGATTAGGATTTTAAAGGACTTTTTTAGTTGAAAAAAGTTCTGTGTATTTTAAAAGACTTTGCAAGATTTTCATGACTTTTAAGATTTTGTAGGATTTCACAAGACTTTCAATCAGGATTTTAATGGATTATGCAAGACTTTTAAGTTAGGATTTTAATGGATTCTGCGTGACTTTGTGAACTTTGCAAAATTTCATAAATTTTTGACATAAGATAAGAATTCAAATTTTTTTCATACATTCAAATTTAAAAAGAGTCAAATATAAAAATAAATAAAAAAACAATAATATCTGGATAAATAATAATAATTTTTTGTAATATCATGTCGTTCTAAATAGAATTCACCACATATTCTTAACTATACTAGTCTTCAAAAAATTAGTATCTTTTCGCTCTTACTCTTGTGTTTTAATAATAGGCTCAAAATTATGATTTTCATTAACCAGTAATGTTGAAGATGAAGGTTTTTCCATCACTTCAATTGAAAATTCATCATAATGACATTCTTTACGAAGAAAGTTATGTAGTCCCACACATGCTAAAAATTATTCTAAACAACATTTCAATTTTTTTATAATTTGTGGTTTAAAATATTTTATTTATAATTTTATAAATGATTAAAAAAAATAGTGGGACAACTACCCTACTCTCTTATAACTAAATATGTCCCTTCATTTTATATCGGTACTAAAGTAGAAATTTACAAACATCAATTGGGAGAAAAAAAAATATCTGAAATTTGTTA